GCCTAGAGCAAAGCTCGGGTTGGTTGTTTTGGTCTGTAGGCGTAGCGGTGACTTTGGCATGCGCTGTTTGGGGTTGGTGGTTAATGTTTGGTTGGAGTTTTCGGAGGCAGGGAGAAGGTTCTTTCGGGAATTCTGTGGATAGCAGTTGTTCGGAGGGATCAGCTTTGTCTTTGCCGGTAAATGAAGAAACCGCCTTAGCGCATGACCGAGAGGGTCTAGCTTCCGAGCTTCAGACTGTTGTGGCTTTGGAACCAGGTGAGGATGATAGATCCTCACCAGAAGAGTGGGAGCAGGCTCAAGACCACTTAAGAAAGGAAGAGTTGAGGGTTGGTTTGACATTGGTTCAGAGGGCTCGGGTAAGGAGGGCGATATCCAGAGGTGGAATTGTAGACCCGCCTGCCTTTCAGCAGAGGTACGGACCTCTTCCTGAGTGGTATGCTGGGGTTGAACCTTCGGCCCCCTCGGAAATTGAGCCTTCAGCCCCTTCAGAACTCGAACCTTTGGCCCCCTCGGAAGTTCCTCCTGTTGTGAATACTCCTAGGGTAGGACCGAATGCGACTTCGGACTTGTGGGAGCATCATGGGGATTTGTTGTCTGCCTTCTTAGGAGTTCCAACCAGGGACTGGGCATGCCTTGCGGTAGTATCTAGGACCTGGGGAAGGAATACCCGAATTGTGTTGTTGTTGCATCTTCAGGATACCGGAAGGTTTAATGAACTGTCGGGATTCCAAGTACAACTTCGGTATGCAGACACGGAAACCGGAAGCAGTTGGGAGCCTATCTCAGTGGTGGGCTGGGTGCCCCAGTCAGGTCAGGCTTCCAGTAGCACCGAAGCAGTAGGAACCCCTCTGACGTTGGGGACTCAATCCCTTCATGGTCAAGCGTCCAGTAGCACCGATGCGGTACATGCTGGTGATGTTTCTGGAGCCCTAGGGTTTCAGGGTGATAGTGCCGGGTTAGATGTAGGAGCGCCTAGTCCTGCGGTTCAGATTGGAGGAAGCTCTAGCAGCCACGGTGTGTCAACGACAGATTGGGGTTGTTATGAGGACTCCTTCGAGCAGCCACAAGAGTTGAGCCGTTTTCCTTTAGTTGGGACTTGGTTGGTGGTGCATTTTTTGGTTCAGTTGTTGTCGTGTCAGGGCCATAGGATTTTGTGGTTCTTGGGTGAAGGCTCGTGGGATTGGTTGATGCTACGGGTGACTTCGGCTTCGGTCAGGTGGGCGATAGTAGGAGCGCTAGCGGATGTGTGGAGACAAGGCCCCAACTACTACATGTTTGATGGACCCCAATGGCAGGCCGCGGTCGAAGATCATTTGTGCGTTCGGTTAGCTGTTCAAAGAGCTGAGAGGAGAAGGATAGGCCAGGTTGGCTCCCCTCGACCCGTTGAGCAAAGTGTTCCTGTTGAAGCGGACAATGCTAGCGACGGGGAAGATGAAGAAATTGATGATCGTCCACATAGGGATCCTCCGGGGGTTGGTAGGCGAGTCATGAGGTTGGTGGACCCTTCATCTTCCTCAGAAAGCGAATCTTCCACTACGGAACCGTCTCACCCGGAGAGTGAGATTGATGTCTCTGACAGGGAGCCCCCACAGGGAAGTCTTGGGCTTGCAGGGGTCAGCTCAGTAGTTCCTTCGGTAGCGTACTCAGCTGGTAACGGTGCTCTAAGGGTTCATTATGTGGATGATAGTTTTGATGTGCCTCTTGAAGGATGGACAGAGGAGGGGATTCAGAGTGTTGTAGAGGGCCTTCAGTCGGGCTTGTGGCCTGACTGGAGTCAGGCAATACAGAGTTCGGAACTCAGCAACCTTTTGAGTGTGCCTGGCCCCGTGAGCGAGGCCCACCCTGGAAATGTGGGACTAGCAGCTGCAGGTTTTGGCGGGGTCTGTAGTTTCTGGTTTCGGGTCCTAGTACTGTACTGGGTTTGTGTTCTTGCGACTCAGGGTTCAGCGAGTTCGGAGCTTGAGGCTTTGGTCTTAGCTACTTCTTCGGATTCAGTCTGTAGCCAAGGGTTGCAGGTTCGCTCTGGCACCAGGGAAGTTGGAGGTCCGGGAATCCCAGTTGACTGTGACGGTTCTACGTTGATGTATGTGATAGGAGCGGTGACAGGGATAATCGCCTGGGAAATCATGCGTTGGCTGTTTCGCTGCTGTTGGCCCTCTGCCAGGCAGTTGACAATAGGTTGCCAAACAAATGATTTTGGCATTATACCCTTGCCTTTGCCCGTAGGTGTCCCGTATCGAGCAAGGATACTTTATAGCTTCTGGCGGGCAGGCTTTAAGATAGACACTGATGCCTACCCAGAGAAAGTACAGGATGAGGTTTGTTGGTTGATCGGTGATTATTTGAAGCGTCTTGAGGATGGTGGTTCTCCTCATAGTGATTTCTCTGGAAACGGCTCAGAAGTTTCCTGATAACGTTGATCGAAGAGGCTGAAGTGAAGCCAGCAGTCTTTGATTAACTGACCCGTGGGAGTTGAAGACTCAGCTCTGAGATAACCGGCTTTTAGAGCCTTTGCATTAAGCTGCGTAGGCTAGGTATGTCTAGGGCATGTCTTGGTGGATTCCCAGGGTCAGGGTACAGTGGATGCTGAAGGTTCGAACCGAATTTTCCCTGAAGGGGAAATCTTCACCCTAAGCAAGGTGAGAGCTCGGAATGGAACCCAGTTTTTGTCCAAGGTTGTTTCAAGAAAGAGTTTCTGTGCTAACCCCGTCGGCCTGTAAGATCCGCGGTTTTTCCTAGATTGGCGTCCCTGTCACCCTGTCTTTGGAAGCCAGGGTGAGGGGGAGTGCGTGCGGTGATACCTAGGTGATGGGAACGGGCGCTGGCATGGGAACTCAGTGTTACCGGATGAGGCTGTTTTCTGGCTTTGAAAAAGGTGAAGTCCTTCGGTGCGAGTTGTCAATCTAAGAGTGTCTTAGTTCACTTGCTCTGAGATCTTGATAGTTGAACATCACATACTTTGATTACACGTACTTAAGGCTTAGAGGGCTTAGAGGGCTTAGGGTTTGTAAGGCTCAGGGTTGGGGGTTTAGGATGTAGGGGTTAAGGCATGCATGGTGTTTGTGGTTTGTCGATTTTCATCGAAATCATGGCAGCTCATGAACTGCAGCCGGTAAGCCCGGCGAAGAAAGCCCTGCAACCCGCTACTGTATAAACCGTAAAGCCTATAAACCCTAACCCCTGGGCCCATGGAGTCTTCAAGCACACGACTTCGCAGTTGTCCGATTTTGAGTCTAACGGTTCAGGGCCCCGGTAGCCTTGCAGTTTTCTAGGACGCTCTGTTTTACGTAGTAATGTGGGCTGTGGGGTTGTTATGGGGGTAATGCGAGGTTATGCGCTTTGGTGTTGAGAAGTTAGGTCGAGAAATTAGTCCCTTATAACGGCCGAGAGTTGCCTGAGTTCTTAGCTTTGTGTCGGAATTAGATACTGCGCAGGTACTTGGCCCCATGTGTTGATCCGTCGGTTACACTGGTGTTTGGGTCTTTCTGACTTTCTCAGAACAGCAGATACGAGATTCTCCTACAATTTAGCATCCTGGAGCAGCCACAGGCGATGCTACGCCACATGACGCGGCAACATTTTCTTCCGACAGTCTGAGGTTATACCTACCGTCTACAGGTGCCACAGTCTGAGTTTTGCTCTTCACACTTTGCAACTAGGATTTCTGGATTAAACAGGTTTCGGTTTAGAGTGGCAGCCACCTTCTCCCAAGCAGAGCTGACTACGAAAGGTAGTGTCATGCCCTGCCCCAAACTTCCCACTTTTGGTGCCATGCTTGTGGAGCATGCCCGCACTTTAAAACTGTAGCGCCCCTATCATATGTTGATGTGTTTCGGGACGGGGGTTCACGGTAGTACAATAACGTGCATGGGCCGCCGGGCATGTTGTCTTGCGGGGCAAAGGCTCTGCAAGGTGTAGCTTGGAGGCTTGCCAGACATCGCATAGCTTTCAAACATGCTGGGCAGTGGGGTTGGGAAGTGGGATATCATATGTTTGCATTGGAGAAATTCAACCGAACCTTGTCGTTTACTTTGCCTTGAGAAAGAAATTCAAGTCAAGGCTTGCTTGATTGTGCAGTTGCCCTACTCGGTCTTGAGCAGGATCGGCATACATGAATTTGTGGATCTGTCGAGTACCTGCCTCTCCCACGCCGATGCCATGCCGATGCACATAAACACTGACACCCGTTTGCTTGTCATATAACCTCTCGAACTTCGCGGTGACCTCCCAACCCTGAACCCCAAAGCTCGTCTTACTCCATTACACGTAAAGTCCTCAACCCTTGCTATGGCCAAACCATACCTTCCGGAGTGCTCCATGATTAAACGACGCCAGTGCTGACTGCGGCGGCCTCCCTGCAAGCACTGTCAGCATTTATGTGATGCTCTGGGATGGTGCATGGTACTCCACTGTTTATTTGTTGTAGATTTCGGGAGCAAAAAATGCAAGCCTTGCGCTCGAGCTTGAATCACAATAGCATCGCATCACGTCTCCTGTGTTCCATCGTCAGTGAATGTCTCCCTGGTGATATATATATATATATGTATATATATATATATAACTTACCGTTTCCTTCGAGCCCATTTGGTGCAAAATTGTCCCGAAGTTGTGTGGTTCTCTAAAGGGATGTGGGTGCGCACGGCTTTTATTCTAGAGTGCATTCAGGGTTTAAAGAGCGCTGGGTGGAATGCACGAGTGCATGACCAAGTTTGGTGGAAATCACACGCGGACAGGAAGCTTCAACCGCAAGCCCGGCGTCTTATTAAAACAACGATCTCTTGCAGGTGCGTTTTCGGTTTACGAGACTTTAAGCCAGGTTAGGGCTTGTCCACAACAAGGGCATATGGCAGATACCTTGTGTATCCGGTGGACATTCAGTATGTCTCCCAACACGTCTGAACCCAACACGCCAGGCACAAATGCCAGGTCTTATGCTTAGACTTTTAACCACAGAAGCATACCGAACTTGCATGTAGACCGTGCACTCGCATAATCAACAGGCTCGGGGATTGGCAGCCTTGGCAGCTTGGTCTTGCATCCGAGGGTTTGGAGTCATGGGTCCATGGATTCAGCGTCTAGGGTCTGAGGTTCGAGGGCCAAGGCGTGTGCAAGGGCTTAACTTTTGGAGTGTTGGAATGGTCATGAGTCGCCCTAAAACAGTCAACGATAGAAGCATTACAACGGCAGAGGGGCAGACCCTCTAGGCCCAGATCAGGCCACGGTCGTGTGGTATCGGGCGTTCGGGCTTAAACCTACCGTGCACAGTGCACAGCTGGTATGCGCCCGCCAAAGGGCTGAAAAGGCGGCTTAGGGTTTGGGGTTCAATAATTGGAAAGGTGAGGGATGCGGGTATCCCATGCCTTTCGTTTTGTCCTTGGGTTGGCAGGCAGAGCCAGCCTGACAGCCGGGTGTTGGGATTTGATGATGTCGTGTTTACGTATACCGCTCAGCAGTTTCTTTTATTATGCCTTAGTCAGTCACTCTTTCGAAAAGAAAACCGCAATTAATTATTGTGTGTTGCGGTCAGTGGTAGATTTCAGGTTATCGGGGCGTCATGCCGTATTGTAATTCTCACAAGTCCTTGTGTTCGGCTTTAAGGTTTCCCTTAAGGACATGCACGGATAACTCTGCGATATCTTTGGGAACCTTCGTCTCCGGAGTTCTCAACTCCCAAACCTCAGAGGCCGCGAATTAACTATTCTGCCTTGGGGATCCTACTATACCTAATGTACTACTCTCCAAAGCCCGACTCCAATTGTTCTGAAGTGTGGTATATAAAGGAGAATGCAAGACCCGCGGATTGAGGACTGCAGGGGTAAAGCTTCGAAAGCCTGAAGTTAGCAAAGGCTCCAGGATCCCCTAAAGCTCAAGGATCCCCAAAACCCAGGTTTTAGGGTTTTGAGTTCAGATCTCCGAACCCCAACTAACCCGAAACCTCAATTAGCAAGTCTCAGACATGACGACAAGCGTTGAACTCGGAATACTCTTTCTCCACAGGGAGTTTACGGCTTCGAATATACACACATACATATATATATATATAATTAATTAATACACATATAGTAACATAATTAGCAGAACGGACAGATCACAACCATACGAATGTGTGTCTATATCTACATATACACATACAAAATGTATATAAAGACACATTACGGCATGTTGAACACTGAACTGCAGAGCAAGGTTGGTGCTGCATTCACCACGACCAGCGGCCGTAATTCTGCAGAAGCCCTGGCGCTTAGGGTTGCGTCGGGTTTGGTGTTTGATTGAAGCTTCAGTTTAGGCTTTCAAGTTTCAGGGTGTGGCGGTGTTGGCGTTCAGGTCTTTGAGACTGGTTTGCGGAGTGGAGAGTTGGACTTCATTATTTCCGGTAAGTAGTTCTGAACTCTGGTGGTCGGGGTTTCAGCATTGGGCCCATTAGGCATTTCGGGCCTCGACTTCGGTACCATTTCCTGCAATCTTGAATCCGACAAACGAGAGCCCGGAACCCTAACTCACCATAATACCTTGACCGTAACCATCTGAGCCCTGAATCATTATTACTATTACTATTATTATTATAAGCCACCACTACTGTCCCAGGCCGGCCGCTTCATTAACTGGCTGCCGCGCAGGTGGCATGGTCTGGCTATGGGTCGGGTTCTCTGCCTCCTTCCTTTAGGATTCAAGGTGTAGCGTTAGGTTATAATGAATGAGGTATAGGGCTCTTAAGGTGTAGGGCTTGGGGGACAGACTATATAAGCCCAGAAACCCGGGAACCGGGTCCAGTGTGTTAGAGTTCAGATAATGGGACTGAGTCCTCGGATCATCCTGCGCTGTCGCTTTCGTTCGCTCCAGTGCGTGATGAGGGCTCACAACCACAATGCCCTCCAATCTGCAGTGTATGCCCCACACCTCTAAGGCTCCATGTGCATTTTTAGCATATGCTTGGGCCTTACAGTACTTGTATATAGGGACCCTTTTAAGGCCTGAGTATATATAGGTACATAGAGCCTTGGGGCCCGAGACTGTGAATTCTGCAGCCTACACGAAACCCCGCTTTGGGTTGTATTAGTTGATGGTTTTGGTGTTTTGTTGCTCAGTGGCAGGCAATGTTTCGTCTGCTTCAAGCAATGTTAAGTTTCCGGACTATGGTACGGGAACCGGCTCTTTCCCTCCTCTCTCTGTGTCTTTGGCGGCCCGCAGAGGTAGTACAAAATATCTGTGCGCATACTTAGGTACCGTCACCGTAGGTAATCCCCACTGAAAACCCGAGCTTAAGCCTTCCGAAAACCCTTTAGAGAGCCTTGGAAAGCTTAAGGTCGCTGTTCTCCGTCCGAAGAAGGGGTTTTAGAGGGGCATTAACGAAGCAATTAATATGGCAAGTAGTTAAGAATAATTCGTGCTTCGGGTTTGTGGGCTAGGGCCAGGGTTTTGGGGTTTGGGGGAGGGAGGGGTGTAGGGTTCGCGGCTCATGGGCTTTACGGTTTAGGGAGAGCTTCGGGTTTCAGGGCCAGGGTTTCAAAGCTTGACGGGGGGGGGGGAGTCTAGGTTTAAGGTGAGCTTAAAGTTTAGAGAGAGCTTCGGGCTTCAGGGAGAAAATTGTGGGTGCGTTAACTTAAAATTGACCCTTCGCTGCCAGGAAGCACAGGAAAACACAGCCGGCAAACACAACAAATCAAGACCCTCCTCAACAATTTGCAACGAAATAAAAAAGCAAACCAAGGCATTGTAGACCCCCACCTGGCAACACACGCCGCCACATCATGTACATATTTTGATGAGTGTACCTGGTGTTTGTTCGGGGCCGCTGCCTGCACGTGTACGTCAGAGAGATCTTTAGATTTATAGAGTCCTCATAAGAATTTCAAGCCCTTTTTCGTTTGCTTGCGACTTGTATTTCCAGAGTTTGGGGTGGCATGTGTAGCAGCCCCTGCTGAGACAACGCCTCCGAAGAGCTCTCGCTGGCATGCCGTGCCTGCCCTGAGGGGAAGGCTTGCATCACGGCCTTTGTTGTGTCGCGAGTTTGATTTTGAGGGTCAGAGATTCTGTACATAACCCTTAAAGCCATCTTGGGTTCCAAAGCCGCGATCCTTTGCAGGTTTCTTTAAGCTGCACCTCATTGTAACTAAGCCTGCAAGGAGTGCAAAGCCCGTTTGGGTGTTAGGTGGTTCATGGTTTCGGGTTTCAGGAGAAATATAGAAAGAATGCCATTCCGACTTCCAGATGCTTGTGAACAATTCCCGGCGACCGACCGCGGTGGGTCCGTAAAGGTTTGAAACGCTTAGGGCGGGCTTCGGGCCCAAACCGAACCCAGATCCTCTGAGTTCCTCCGTAAGTAGAAGGCACGAAATTTCAGACTCTGCAAGGTGCGACCGAAGATGAGCCAGCAACCTTTGATGTTGGGGTTCAGAGTTAGGGTTGGGCGGTTTCCCTCTAATTTGGGGTTGTTGTCATTTGCCCTAGAAGCCTCGATCAGGTCTTTCTGGTCTTTCCGCTGTACCTGTGGTGCTTCTTCAAACTGTCGCTGTTCCTTCTCCTTACTTCTGCCAATTCTGTTCGAAGTTGTTGCTCGAAATGACTCTTTCGACCAATGCACACTGGAAGAAGCCGGAATCCCATTGAATTGTGGAGCCCTTCTACGTTGACATCCTTGTATAGCTTTTTTCAAGCTTGACCTAGCAGTCCAGTTCATATTGCTCCGTTGACTGAGACCCTTGCAGATGCCAGGACCACCAACACTGGCGCTGGCCACATACTTGCCAGATGCACGGCCTGCGTCGGGTTTCAAGTTCAGGTCCTGAAGGCTGGGGTCTGCCAGCGGGGCTCTAAGGTTTAGGGCTTTAGGGTTTCAGGCCTAGGGGTTTAGGATTTAGGGCTTAGGGTCTAGGGTTTGGAGTTCATGGCTTTCTGTAAGGTACGCTATGATTAGACTATAGTGCGCTCAAAACCTTATTGCACTTATAAAGGTTCCGCCTGTATGAAGAGACGGCTTTCCGTTTAAGTCGTCGCTCCGAAGCAGCCGCGGCTGCCACGGATTGCAGGCCAAGTCGGCAATATGTTTAGGGTTTGGGGTTCAATCTGTGGGATTGAGGGTTTTGGGCTTTGGGTCAGGGTTAGGGTTTGGGTTTAGGGGTCACAGGTCAGAAATTAAGGGTTTAGGGTTATAGGCAGGGTTTAGGCGTGCACAACCTTGGCTTCCCCGAATGAATCTAGCCACACACACATACGCAAACCCCGAATACAGGTAGAGTTTGCCGTGGCCCGACGGACATTTCCATTCAGAACACGATCGTAAGCCCACAAGGGTTGATCCAAACTCCTCGCCTTCAGCCCTAAACTTCTGGAAAAACCCAGGCCCCATGACAGTCCCTTCTGAACCCTAAACCCCCATAAATGAGCCCTAAACCCCAAACCCTGTAACCCGAAACTCTCAGCCCGAGCATTTAGAGTTCCTGAAAATCTGCCCAGGTCTCGGTGCTTGGTACAGAGGCCCTGTGCTCGAATTAGTTCGGGCCACTCGGACCAAGTAGATATGGGGTTTAGGGTTCATGGGTTAGGGTTTTAGGATTTGGGGTTTGGGGTTAACCAGCCGGGCCTTCAAGCGCCAGTACTTTTGCTTCTGAAGCCTTTTATACTTTAGGAGACCTGTAAAGGTGTCGGCGGGGTCGGGGCATATCCTGAAGGATTCGGGGTCGCAGGGGCGGCATTGAGGTTTCAGCTTTTCGCTGTCCGACTATTCGCCGGTAGAGCACTCAGTCTGAAGGTTTCAGACGGACACGACAGCTTGCAGCATTTCCGAAAGATGTTCGCTGATACGAATGACCATACGAATATACGGTATCGGCTTCAAGCGCCTGGAACAGCACGACCAATGATCGTTGGCACGAGACAGGACGCATGCCCAGCTGACAGAAATTTTGTATTTGAAGGGTATGCTCGTGGGTCGTAGGCTTGGGTTTCCGGTAGTTTGGGAAGTGGCAGAAGTCGGTGCTGTTGAATCGTCTTTGCGTGCTTTCAGATCCAAACAGCATGGTCTGAACCCATGTCTCCTCTCGAATAACCAAGCTGCCTCGAGACTTGTGAAGCGATCCGGATCTGTTTAAGTCTTTGCCTTTAAAGCATTTCGGTGACTCCAGGCAGAACCTTCCTATAGTCTCTATGGTAATTAGTTCCTTTTTAACTTCAAATTTGGCTTCCCGTAAGGTAACCCAACCAGGAACTGCAATGGGGCAAAAAGTAAGTCGATCTTGGCCTTCGCCTAGGGTGAGACACGGCGCGCCCTCCACCAGAGCGGTGGGGAGGAGGTCAGATGTAATACAGGGGCCTCAACAATGGGAATTGGGTTTTTGGGGCCTCAATGATTGGAATTTGGTTTGTTGGGCACCTTCATTAGATGTGCGCATTTGTGCGCCTTAACTAGAATCTGGTTTTGGGGATTGAGTTTTTTGAATTGGGTTTTGGGCGGCGTGCATCATTTGAATTGGGTTTTGGGGGATTTTCTCGTGTATGTACGTAGAGACTATAGGGGAGATGATATTCTTGCCCGCCCCTCCCTCAACGTTCGTGAGGGTATGACATCCGATTTCGGACTTGCAGTTTGTGGGTAGCGGGGCTGCATGGAACTCTACAGCCATACCCTAGCTCCCCTGTTCTTAGACGGGTTTGCATGGACAAAAAAGGGCCAAGCTTGCCAGCAAAGCAGGGTGTGCTAAGGATCTCTGGGGTGTTGGTGTCTGTTAGATTCGACTCCTCAGGGCCCGCCAAGGATTAATGTAGGGGCTTCAGCAATTATCAATAATACTATTCTGGGGCTCCTTATGAAAAGTATAGTATAATATAGCCCCCAAAACCCTATTCCAATTACTAAGGCCCCTGTATCAAGCTTTATTGTGGCTCCGTGCTCGGGCTCTGAATCCTGAGTTGAAACCCTTTGAGCTCTTTCGGGTTGAGGAGCACCGAACTCACGGAGTCTCTTGGCGTTTCCAGACTGTGTCGGGCAAAAAGATCCGAAGCTTCAATCTCAACATCCTCTCTTATTTAGGGTTTAGGGTTTTGGGCAACAGCCCTGGACTCTTATCTCCCCAAGTCACCCAAATCCCTCAAAGCCGATGCTTCCAGCCCACCACGGTCATTTGTACTCAGCGCTGAGCTGCCCATATCCAAAGCCGGAATTTCCCCAGTGCCAAAGTCAAGGGTAAACTCGATCTTCAATCCCAAACATTTAACCCCGAGCACTGTCATCTCCTAGAGCCCGAAACGAAAGCCTGAAACCCAAAGCCCTTCGACCCCGTCCTCAACTCCCGAGGAACACCAAACCTTAAGCCCTGAAGCCCAGCACCCCAAGCCTGAAAGCATGGAACCCCAAACCCCCCAAACCCTGAAGCCTAAAGCTCATGATCTGAGAAGGCTGTGATGCGATATCTTCAACCTCACGACGTACCTGAGCAGATTTCAGACTTTGGGGTCTTCTTGGTTGGTCTCCTACGCCCTATCTAGGCCTTGTTTTGGGATTAGGGCTCAGGGTTTAGGGCTTACGGTCTATAGGGTTTAGGGGTTAGTTTAGAGCTCTCTGAGGGTTTAGGATTTTGGGTTTTCGGTGTTTAGGGTGGGTTTAGGGATTGAGGACCCCGTATATAAGGACCCTCATTTGGAATTGCGTATGGTATAGGGCTTGGGGTTTAGGGTTTGAGGGTTTAGGGTTTAGGGCTTTATAAACCAAAGCATACGATACGGAACCTGCGTTAGGGCATTGTGTAGATGATGCTTCACTTTAATTCAGTTGCTTCACCAAAGAGAACCCAGCATAGGAAAGTGGACTCAGTTCCGAAAAGATTTGACACACCAGTTGCGCCATGGGGAGCATCTCCATCATGGTTTTAGAGATGGACCTTTCGAGTTTGAGCTAGCTGAAAGATGCCTTGTCTTAATTCAAGGATGACAGCACAGGCGGTCATTCACTTCCGGTGCTTCCCATTCTTCAACAGTGGCTGCCTCGTGCGAGATTTCCAGTGTGTTGTGTGTTCGGTCTTCCAAGGAGAGTGCTGTAACAAAGGTGCCCCTGAAAGAGAACCCCAATCCACAGTTGGCTTGCAGGTCCACGATTGTGCTTCTTTCGATTCACGTGCTGTTGGATGTGAGGGGGGGGGGGGCGTGCGCATGGAGATGCTTATGGACGAAGCATGTTTTGCGCGTGCAGTTTCATGTGAATTCAGTTTTGCCGAGCCCGGGTTACATCCAGTATGAGTATTAGCAAAGAGCTGTGGGAGAGGTAGAGAGGTTTAGCGTTCTCTGTTCTCATGCTCTCGCTCCACTCACTCCTGCCATTTACCGGCGCGCGGCGTGCTTTCCGCATTGTGCTCTACTTGGGACAGACTTCCAATAGCCGAAAGCCCCAGACTTCTTCCCGAAAGCTTTAAACATAGAAGCCCGGAGCATTGAATCGGTTGAACACCTGGCCCTACACCCTAAGATTCCAGGCCCTGTACTGACTTATTGACGAATCACTGCCATGATTCCTGCGAGTGCCGTCGTACGCTTGTGCGATCACCCCTTGCAAAGCTCTACATCATGGGTCGGAGGAACAGCCTCAGTACCTATAGAGTAGAAGGTTTCCGTATCAGGATTTACTGTGATGATTTAGGGAAGTATCTCCCATAAGTACATAGGACCTTTGGGTATGTCCGAAACCCTAAACTTTAAACCGAAGATCCTGAGGTGTCTACCCACTTGCCGCTTTTTCCCTTTACAAAGCTTTGCCACCCACCCTGGCAGTCCGCACCTCAAGGATTCCTCCGTTTAGGGTTTATCGGATTTCGGGTTTGCGGGTTTAGGGTTTAGGGGTTACGGGTTTAGAGTTTTTGTTGTTTGGTTTATCGGGGTAGGGTTGCATGGTCTGCGGGTCGTGGCGCGTGATTGTGTTTGGATAGGTGCATCCCCAAGGGTCCAAGTATTCCCTATTGTAGGCCCTTAGGGGCCTTTTTGGGACCATGAACAAGGACTGCTTGCAACGTCAGGGTATGATCTTGAGGTTTGAGGCTTTAGGGCTGCAGGTCTTCCCTGCTTCAGGGCTTTCGGCAGTTGCGCCGCAGTTCAGGTGCAGCCGATATAGTGGCATAACTAGATTGAACTGCAGATGCCAAAATAGGCCACAGGGTCCAGAAAGGAATAGCGTCGAAGACATGCCAGAACTTGTGAGGGGTTGTCAAGGGCAGAGTTCCTGCTTGAATGAACAGAATTCCTCTGTAGCAGAGTAGGTATCCTTTGACCTTGTTGGGGCACTCCAGAGAGAGAGAGAGAGAGAGAGAGAGAGAGAGAGAGAGAAGGAGAGAAGGAGAGAAGGAGAGAAGGAGAGAAGGAGAGAAGGAGAGAAGGAGAGA